AGTCAAAGGGACACGCCCTAGATGATATTAAAATATATCGTATAAGATTTTTAATTCAATAACATAAAAAATCCAATAGCATTTGGCTTAACACATTAAACTTATTTATCATTTTATAACTTGCTATCTTTATATACATCATATAATTTACCTTACAAGATTAAGCTGTAGCATATAATATGGATCTTGGAAAAAGAGTCGAGAGAGGGTAGGGAAAATAAGTACACGAAACTATCAGTATCGTGCTCTGAATTCAAAAATTCCTAAAAATAGGTTTTATTCAAGTTTGCGCAATCTCGCACGTTATACGTCGTTAAATCTTTTAGATTTACGTAGTGGTGTAAAAATAGTTGTGAAAAATTTATTTGAAAACTAACGTGGTGACATATATATTTATATATATATATTCCTAAAGAACTCTTAACTTAAAAAAAAAGGATCTTGAGTATCATTCCCGGTTAAACAACATTTTTTGCTCCTCGATCAATAAAACATAAATATGAGTATCCTGTTGTTGAGCTATATGGTACGCATTTATTTATTTAATTGAATATCGTGTTAATTTAAACGAAGGCTTACGACTGCATTAACAGCCTTTTCAACATTGGTGTGCTCTTTCTTATAGATTAAGAAACGCTTCGACATATAGTACAAAGAATATGTTATAGGGAAATTCATAAGTAAACTTTATATATAAATTGAAAGTTGTTCCGTTAATTATTTCAGTGAAGATAAAAGTAATATGCAAATGGGTACATAGAGTAAATTCGAGCGATGTTCAAAGGAGCAAGTTCTCGCATTATTCACAAAAACTTAGTTCCGAAGACAGCAGTTTCTTCCGCTGTTTTCATCGCTGCCAACTTTTAATGAGCTGGACTTTGTTACTGTGTCAGCGGTCTAGGATTTTAGAATAGAAAGTTAAATTTAAACTCGCTGCAATCTTTTTTTACTTAACAAAAAATCACAGCCCGCTTAGCGAGTAACTTTTTATCAATTGATTTCAACAAATATTTTCGAGGAGTTTTTTCTATAAGGTGCAAAATTAAGTACAGATATATCAACAGACAACAATAAGCACACGAAATCACATATAATAACTTTTTCTAGAGTTTAAGTTTCAATCCAATGTTCTAAAATATGTAACAATTACGGTGGTTGTTTTATTTACATAAAAACAAAATTCTAAAAACATATTACTTATTTAAAAATGAATTTGTTACTAAACTTGTACATCAAAAATTATTCTGAAGTCCTTTTTCCTAAAGAAAAATACTTCATTTTAACACGGCCGTGGGTACCACCACGATGTATTAAAAACATTGTTACGCCATGGCTATCAAACTATTTAATCACCTTCCTAGAGATTATAGATCACTGTCGTTTAATGCTTTCAAGGGGAAGGTGATTCAATTTATAAAGGCAAGGTGCCTTTTATAGTATTTAGACCATAAGTTTTCACAATAGTTATGAGAATTAGTGTCATTTGCATTTATATGGCTGATTGTGCGGTTTTTTTATAATAATTAATCAATTTGAACCATATTCTTTGCAAACTTTTCTTTTAATAGGTTTCGGTATTTGAACTCTTACACACTCACTTATAACTCACTTCACTTCACTTTATTTATAATGGCGACATCTGTGTAAATCACAATTCCGCCAATGTCACGTTCTAAGTCTTCACACGGTGAGGATAGATTTGATAATTTTGATAGATTGAATTTAATCTAAGCAGAGTTACCCAAAACAAAAATGACGTCACAATCACTTATAACTCACTATGTCGAAAAAAGTAGACCGCACACTTTCGACAGTGTGAGTTTTGGGACGAATTTGATAGACCACACCACACCACACTTTGACAGATGACGAATATGACATGACAAAGATTTGAAGAAATTAATTGCAGTAGTTTTCTGCACTAAAACAAGGATTTTTATTATATTGGTGAGGTTTTAATAAATTTATTCTAAAATGTAGAGAATTGACAGCGTTGCAAATTTGATTTTTAAAAGGGATAACACTGTGGATATCAATGTAAAAAATCGCTGTTGATCCTGGGCTGATATCTGCATTAAATTAATATTTCTAATTAATAGATTTGTAGTTATTCTATTAAAAATTTATTAAAATTTTAATAAAATAAATAACAAATGTGATTCAGCGATTCTTAGTTGGAACAGTGTATTTTTAATTGTTCGGGTGAGTATTGTAATTTATATAATTTTAAGTTTTTTAATCGTTTAGCTTATTAGCTAATAGCTTAATTTCAGTACTTTAAATTGGTTTTTATATATTCTGTTAGCTTTTACTTCTTTATTCAATTACACTTATTCAAATAGCATGGGCATTATGTTTTGTTTCTACCTACATTGAGTGTTATAAAGGTTAAATACGTATAAATTAAATTAAAAACTTAGTATTCTGTTAAATCAGTAGTCACAGAAAAAGAATATTTTTGTAAATTTGTCGAAATACAAGGGGTATTTCAACAAAACAGCTCTTACTTTTATTTACTTGTATGTAGTACCCCAAGTAATATTAAGAAGGCGCATGTCTTTGGAGCTCTTAACAAAAATCACTTTAACACAACACAGCCGAATTAGGTATTACTTAGTTAAATATATTGAATAATTTTCATTGCTTTTTTCCTTTTGTAAACGTTTGAACCATATTGTGAATATTATTCATCTTTCGCTATATTTTTAGTATAATTATTTTTTATCTGATATATAAAATTCTCGTGTCACAGTTTTCGTTGCCATACTCCTCCAAAACGGCTCGACCGATTCTCATGAAATTTTGTGTGCATATTGGGTATGTCTGAGAATCGGACAACATCTATTTTTCATCCCCCTAAATGTTAAGGGTAGTCCACCCCTAAATATTTTTTTTATTTTTAGATATTTTTTTCTGTTTTTTTTTATGATACAGCATTAAAAAATACATACAAATCCCTAACTTTTACCCCACTACGATCAACCCCTATTTTTTTATTATAAATGATATATATGGCAAAACGAGGTTTGCCCGGTCAGCTAGTTATATATATAATTAATGTTAGCTGTAGGATTACGAAATAAATAAAACGGTAAAATAAGAAATACTGTTACTTGATAAATCATAGACTAGTTAGTTTTTTCCGTATCAATAAGATATACTTAATGCCTTATTCGGGGAACTGCGATGAAAACTTTTCCTATCAGATGAGGCAGAGATTTTTTATTTAAGTTCGTAATCTTCTGTCCCATTGTTAAGTGACAGCCACCTAATGGGATCTCGAAGTTCGGCTGTTTAACAGGCAATTTGAACAAATTAAAACTTCTGTAACGTTAACAGTTTATCCTTTTTCGAAGATCCTTTATTATCTTTTGCTTTATCATATAAATATACTTACTATTGAAAATCCTTTATTTAACAGGCAAGTAGTCTGTGTCTCACCTACGCCCATATTTGGATTGAAATTCAATTTCTTCGCTTTTTTTTCTTTTATCATACGAGCAACATACAAGGAAACATATTGGTGTCGTTGCCGCTGATGCATCATGCAATATAAAAATTGTTTCCGACGAATTCGATGGTTTTAATAATAACGGTTTTACGAATATTTCGGTTGAATCTTCATACATTTTGTGTTGTAGTAAAATAAAATAATTTTTTGATCATTACTTGTAGGTAATTTTATATTTGTCATTTTTATATGATTGTACTCAGATGTAGTACATCAGTGTATAATAGGGTTCTTTTGTATGAAGGAAAATGTTATAAAACTGGCATGTCGAGAACGTGTATTAGAGAAACGAGACACAGAAGGATACTTATTAAAAAAATATATTTGAATAAAATATTCACTCGTATATACACAGAAACAATTTCTCGTCTCCTTCGGGTGTTTCACAGAGAAATAATTATAAATACAACTACGACATACTATACTATGGTACACCACTACGAATCACATAGAGCGAAACAGATTTCGATGTAGCTCATACATTCTCTTGACAACGGTCCTAATTTATGTGCCCCATATAAATTCATCTCAATGCAAGGGATTTGGTGACCGCAATCTTATGATTCGCTAATAACAATTCTTATGCTATAGCATACTATATTTGATGGTATTACAAGAGGAACTGCGTTTAAAGTAATTTTCTATTGTTAAACATTAAATTTTTAATACTCTCGTGTAATAAAACCAAACTTCTCTGAAACGGCTTGAGCGGGTTTAATAATTGTTTTGTGTATATTGGGTAGATCTGAGAATAGTACGTTAACTATTATTTATACACCTAAGTCATTAGGCCCCAAAGTTTTAATTTTTATTGTTTATATTAAACATATGTACTTAGGTACATGTATAATTTTTGTCACCAAACCCCATTTTTTAGTTTCTATTACCAAAACAAATAGTGGTTTGGGTTAGCCAGTATAATAGTAAGATCAGTTTTTTGTTTTTTTTTAATTATTATTATTAAATAGTTCAAGATGAACGTAATCAAGTCATGTAAAGCTTAGAGTAATGGTTGCAGCTCCATATTATTTCTTGCTTATTAATAGTTCTTCTTGTTCGTTTTACGGGTTTGGTGAAATTTATCAGTAAATGTAATTTAGATTAATTAAAAAAAAAAACGTTTAATGACGACGTCAATGTTTTATTTTATTTATTTCTCATGATTTCTGGAATTAACAGCAAAAGACAATTAATTTTATACACTTAAATTACTTGTGGTATCCTTTGCAATCAAACTTTTTATCCCTTCTTCTTTTTATATAGCGTCAATATCAATTTGTTGTCAAAATTAAGCATTTTATTAAAAATGAAAATTCTTTTTTTGGCTTTATTTTTATTCTTAATTCATTGTGTATATTCCAAGAGCAAAAGGTATGAAAATTATACTTTGTTCAACCTTGTCGCGACTGAGCGATATCAAATTAAGTTTCTGCAAAATTTGGAGGCACAAAAATACATAGATGCTATATTCTGGAGACGTCCTTTCAAAATGTTCAGCGATATCCAAGTTCTAGTAAATCCTATGGATTTAGAAATTTTTAAGGAGAGATTAGTGCATTTTGGCATGAATTCAAGAATTTTGTCTGACAATATACAACGGTAAGTATTTGAAGTCAGAACTTGTAAGATGCGATTTATATTCCGTAAATGCTACGTTAGCGTAGTTTCAGATTTAGGAAAATAATACGAATTAGTTGTTTGGATACCCAGATCACCATGCTTCATAAAATTTTGAAAAACAGCCTTTCCATTTGCAGGTATAATGTTTATTTTTCTATGTAATAGGCTCACCTGATGTTAAGTGATACCGCTGCCCATGGACACACATTGCCAGAAGGCTCGCAAGTGCGTTGCCGGCTGAAATGTTAATGAAGCACAATATAAGAAATATATTTTAATTCCATTGTCTTTAATTGTCTGTTCTATAACTTTTTTGATTTTTAATTGCTAATTTTCCTAAACCGTGATTTAAACGGTGAATTGCTAAACTTATTATGGTTAAACGGGAATACTTATATGTAATTTTTAATAGTCTTATTAAAATTTATTAATTTTCCAGTGAGTTCGACCAACAAGTAATCCACAGATATTTACGCCTCAAAACAGCGTCTTATTCTTGGAACAATTACCATTCACTTGAAGACGTATACCAATGGATGTCTGATATTGCTGCAAAATATCCTAAACTAATAAAACTCAAGGACATTGGAAAAACTATTGAAGGCAGGGAAATCCTAGCTATGAATATATACAGACCAGGTTCTAAGAGGAAAGTTATAATAGACGCAGCGATGCATGGAAATGAATGGATCACGGCAGAGTTTGTGACCTATCTAGCAAATGAGTTGGTGAAAGCTGATAAGTCGAAGAATAGCAAATTGAGACGCGTGGCGAATAAGTTTAACTGGTTTCTGATACCCGTCGCTAACCCTGATGGGTATGTTTATAGTATGAAAAACGTGAGTACATATCACTTCATAATTTATCTATGAGTCTGTCATAAATTTATTATAAGAGACCCCCCACACTAGCGTCAGCGCTAGCGTATGTACTCGATAGTACTTGTTCGTAAAAACGTTGCACTGGCGCCGCGTAAGCCCGGGGCGTTCGGCACGCAGCCAGCGCTTACTAGCGTCACGTCGCCGCGCCGTCGACGTCGCGTCGACGCTGTGCGGACGCTGACACGACGAAGACGCTCGGAAGATGCTAAGTGTAGGGGGTCTCTTAGTATCTGTACTCGACGTCGCATGAATCGTGCATTTTATTTAGTGTGAAGAAGACGTGGCGTTCGGTCAAAGTTAAGGCACCCACGAATGTGTAAATAAAACACAAATATATTTATTTATTTACTCTTCTTTACATTTATAGAAAAACAAATAATATAATACATTAAAGGCTTTAAGTCTTTGATGCTATGCTATATTAAATATAATGATCTCTCCTAATATTTAATATAGTTGTGGTCTTGTAGGTTTTTCAAACTCTTTAGATGTGTTTTTCTCTAGGTTCTCTTTAATTTCTTAAAATAGCTAATGCTGTTTAAATTTTGAGAATACCATATTATATTTATATGTTACATATTCAGCCTCTATATTTGTACTGTCAATCTTAACCATATTATCACTTAAATTTTATTTCAAAATAATATATTATAGAAAAATATTCTCACACTATTTAAGATTTGTAACGTTAATAAATTAGACTTATCCTTATTAATAAAAACTGACTGGAGTACTCATTTATCATCACAGTGGAACACAATTTGACTGAAAAGATGAGAGAGATTTTTAGTTCAAAGAGTGCTAGAAGACAGAGTTACGTTTTTGGGAGTTATGTCAGTAATAGTGTCTGACTGATCTGTCTTTTCCCAGCGTAAATCCAATTTGACAGAAAAAATGAAAGAGTATTTAAGGTTTTGTGTACTTTTTTTTTCTGCGGTTATTTGCAATCAGCCCCAAGGATATGAGCGTATTTTTTCTGTGGTGCTGTCATGTGGAGTGACTTCCCATTGGAAGCATCTACTCATCTTCTGTCTAGAGTTACTGCCGGTCTTCTCGCTCTAGAAAACTTTGTGTACTAAGACTGCTTTTTTATATAAGTAGGTTAGTATTATATTTAAAGGCAAATATTTTTACAGGATCGATTATGGCGGAACAATCGGCGTATTGAAAATAACAATACGATCGGTGTCGACCTGAACAGGAACTTCGATTATAGTTTTTGCAGTAAGTTTTGAATCTATATGAATTGCTGTTAGTTAGTCTCGCTAAAACTCGAAACTGGCTGGACTGATTTGGCTAATTATGATCTTAAAATATTTCTTATATAAGTTCAGAGAAGGTTTAAACGATGTGAAACATTAATAATAAGTAAAGAAAAATACTAAAAACGACAATTGAATATTCTAATAGAAACTGCTGGGAATATTTTGTCATTTTAGAAATAATAAATTGTCACTTGGCTGTCATATATTTACAGAGCCTTCAGAACTTGAGTTTAGCTGTAGTATAAGGAGGTCCGATCTCTTTGGTCTGTATATTTAGATGATACAAAATTTCACTTATTTAATATAAATATAAAATAACTATAAAATAGCTTAGTAGCTAGGAGCCTGACTCTCAATTTTTAACTTATATTCTATATTTAATTAAATTAATGAAATACGTATATAAACATTTCTTAAGAATCTTGGCATACGCGTGTCATAGTTGCTCATTTCAATAATTCTGTTGTTTACGAATTTACGTCGAACATACGCCCGAAGTGGGATGGTCGAATCGGAGTAGGGAATAGATTATAAATCTAGCTGTGGCACATACGCACGGGCATTCTTCGTCTTTGAAGTGATACTGTTTATCTAAAATCAGTGAAGTGAATTATTATTCATCAAGTGTTTAATTCCTACCCTTGATCTAACTTATTAAAGTATTAATAATTCCATCTTACCCCAAAGAAAGTTTTCAGTTTTTATATTGCAAATTTATAGTCTTTATACCTTTCTAGTTACAATCATATGAAGAATTTATTCTTTATGTTCGAAATTATTCAAATTTTTAAGAAAGTTTTTACCCTCTTTCAAAACAAGATTAAAAATAGTACCAATAAAACTAAAATGACTTGGAAGATAATTGATAGTGAAACTGGAAGAGTCAGGATGCAATCAAGACATCGAACTATTGTGATAACACTATAATCAAATCTAACGAAGAGATAGCATTGTTTTTGATAAGTACTTTTCTGACACTCCAATTTCGACTACTAAGTCTCTTCAATCATCTCCCCCCTCCTAATCGCTGCTCAAAGATAATGTAAACGAGTGCAAGGTCAGTTTTACATTCCGACCCATTGGTGCCGACGATATAGTGAGGATATTTAGAACCATAGATATTAAGAACACTACCGATCTTTGGGGTATTTCTGTAAAAATTTAGTAGCATAATTGATGTAATTGCTCCCCATCTACTATATTTTCAACAATTGTATTAAAAGTGGCGAGTTTCCCGATCTAATGAAACATAGTAAGTTTTCCATTATTTAAAGCAGGTAGTATGTCGACCCCATAACTTTAACCAATTTCCGTACTACCTACTTGTAGTAAAATATTTGAAAAAATTATATTAAATCAACTTAAGTATTTTAACGTAAACAAATTATTACATAATAATCAGTTCGGTTTTACCAAGGGTCGCCACACCTCGTTTAGTTATATAGATATTATATAGTTAAGGCTTGGGAGGAGTCCATGAACTTTAGGTGTTTTCTCGACTTATCCAAAGCATTTGATTGTGTCCAACACAACCTTAATCGGGAAACTCCCACTATCTCAAAATACCGCACTAATCTTCTGACTTCCTATTTACACGGAAAACTCAGAAGGTTGAAGTGAATGGTAAGAGGTCCTCTAGGTCCATAGATATGGGTACCACAGGCTCAATTTTCCTTTCCTCTTTCTTGTTTATATAAATGATCTACCTTTCATGGTAGAGAGAAAACATCAGATAGTTTTGTTTGCTGATGACACGTCCTTGATTTTTAAAATCAACACTAACAAATTTTGACGATTGAACAATGCTCTGTCTTCGATTGTCCATTGGTTTAGTATGAATAACCTTCTACTTAATGCAAAAAAGACAAAATGCATTAAATTTTGTGCAAAAAATGTAGGGATACTAGACCAATTATAAACGGTGAGGATTATCTATATACAACTGTATTTCTCGGAATCACCATATTCAAAACTTCAGTGGTCCCCTCTATTACGGATTGGCGAAGAGACTTAGTTCTGCACCTACGCGGTTAAAAAAATTCGCTCACTAACTGATGTCGATACAGCTAGACTTGTTTATTTTAGTTACTTTCATAGCTTAATGACTTATGGCTTATTATTATGGGGTCATGCTCTATGTCGAAACTATTTTCATCCTCAGAAGAGGGCTATTCGTCAATCTATAATTTAAAATGTAGGGAATCTCTTAGAGATAAATTCAAGGAAATTAATATACTTACCTTTCCCTCGCAATATATTTATGAAAATATTATGTTTATACAAAAATAGTGATAAGTTTACTAGAATAGAACATACGCACAATGTTAATACACGGAACAAACGCAGGCTGCAATTATTTCCCCGTACTAGACTATCTAAAGTTAGTAATTCTTTTTTGGGGAAAGGGATTCTCTTCTTTAATAAAATCCCAGAGCCTCTTTTATCACTGCCTTTCAATAAATTTAAGAAATGTATTAAAGAAAAGCTGTGTAAAAAGGCTTACTATAAAGTCAACATTATCTAGTTGATAAAAGGGCCTGGGACTAGTGCTAGACAGGCTACTTCTAATTAATTTGCGATATTTGTTTTAAATAAGTGTTGTTTGATGATTTGCTGTTTTAAAAGAGTACCGAGAGTTTTTACGCCGGCTTTTTCTCTCGGCCTACACCCTCTGTCTTCTTTGCCATGAGTAGGATGCCTTCAAATTTAATGACGTGGAATAAGTGATACATGTATCTTATGTTCCATAATAAACATATTTTATTTTATTTTATTTTATTACAATCATTAGGATTCTGATTCTGCGTTATTCTTATTCATAATAAACAAACTCTTGTCACTGATTTACTAAAGCAGTGATTCTCTAGTTCTGTACTTACATATGTTAAATGAATGTGGATTATATAGGCTTCGCAATCTTAGACCAAATTGTATTATTGAGAAATAGATTAAGAGTATATAAAATAATATATTTTTATATTACAACGAATTACAAATTACAATCCACACTCGAAAGTAAATGTCGTATACTTTGCCTGGATTTAGTAATAAACTAACCTAAAGTTCAATTTGGTCCATCTGGGTTTGAAACCCAATGAAATGAATTTGTATTAACGTATTGGCATAAAGCGATCATACATTCCAGCTCAAGGTGCCAGCAAAGAACCATCGAAAGATTACTTTTGTGGTTCCAAGGACTTTTCGGAGCCGGAGTCGAGGGCCATTGCCGACTTTGTGAGAATTCACCGGAAGGACCTAAATTTCTACATCTCACTCCACGCTTACGGGCAAAAGATTTTGATACCGTACTCGGACAGGGTGAAGCATGTTGAGAACTTTGGTGAATTGGTGAGCGTTTGATATTTTATTGTACTAGTTTAAATTACCATACAATAATCATTTATTAATAGTCTAGTTTGTCTATGCGGCTTATAAATGTTGTTAAAATATATTATTGATGATATTTATATATCTAATAATAAAACTCAAAAAAGTCAAAAGTCAAAAATCATTTATTCATATGGGTAACACAATGTACACTTATGCACGTCAAAGAAGAAACAAACATTAAATGCTTCTAATTTTACATTTACTGCCAATTCTCAAATCAAGGGCGTAGAACGGAAGAGAAGATCTGGCAATAAACTCCAGTAATACATTCGTAAATAAACACGGGTCAAGACTGTTTTATTTGTTATAAGAAAATATAATTGACTGAAAAATGGTTTCTAAAATGATTTCATTATTGAATTTAGTAAAATTATCTTAAAAACGTGAAAACTACAGTCAGTAAGTAGGTGTATGCTGAAAATATCATTGATTCATATAGGTATTTAATATGCACTTATGAACGTCAAAACAAAAATTCAAACATTTTAAATGTAAAATGCTTCGAAAAATTTACTGGCAGTGTTCATATCAAAGGCGTAGAACGGACGAAAATACTGCCAATAAACACTTCGCAACATTTGAATCGCCAAGGTTTTATTTACAAACTTGCAATCACGAAAATATGCGCCATATGGCATCATGAATCAATTTTATTAATTAAAAATATTTTTTATATTACATTTACAATTACACTTTAATATTGCTAACTCTTCATTATAGGAATACTAAGGATGATTGACATTCGGAAACGAGATAAGTTGGATTTTGACATAAGGGAATAACAGTTCACGCTTCATTTCGTTTCTGAATCTTACCCCAAGTTTTGAAATACACACGCATATTGGCAATCGTACAAATATAATGACGACACTGACATTCAAAAATGACATCTAAAAGAATATTGCCTTTTGAAGAAATTAGTTCCAATAGTTTTCTGCAAACTGGCTAGGTTCTTTATTTACTAAGAAAAGATTTTTGAAATTATTCAGTAGAATTATTGTCATAGGCTCTTGAACTATACGTGATAAGTTTAAGCATAGCAAACATACTAATTCCAGAGATGTGGTGTTGATACATGCAAACAATACAAAAGATTTATTCGCCGCAGTCATGTGGGAGATTCCTCAAGTTGCAATTTATTGATGTAATTTATGTGTGTTAGCAATGTCTCATGCAATGCTTAGAACAATTCATACCTCGAGAACTGAGCGTGTGCTAGTTTTGAGTTATTAAAACTAATTTTAATGAAAAGCTACTTTACAAAATCAATAAATTAATTTAAAATCAAATTATTTATCATATCTATTTATATGTAGGATTTAGACACATTACACGTACTACTCGTACGTACATATTTGATATTTTTGACGTGACAACGTCTAATAAATTGATGAACGCCGGCTGCACGCCGCTGCTTATTGTCCTGTTACGCTCACTGTCTCGTTACGCTCATTGTCTCGTTACGCTCATTGTCCCGTTACGCTCACCATTCTCTTGCCGCATCTATCTCTCTTTCACTCGAAGACTTACATTTTATCAATGTATTGTTATGATGTTGTCATCGTCCGTAAACCATATAGTGGTGGTGGGCGGTAAAAGGTGTCTTAAAAATCTCAAACTCGACGTCACGCTTGGATTCAGGGGTGGGATTATTTCTTGATTATGAAACTTAGCCGCAGGTATTAATTCGAAAAGTTCTTCTGAACAGTCCCCATGGTAGTGTACGTCTATACTACGCAACGCCAAAGGGGTCTAGCCCATCAAAATCAAGATCTTCGATTCTTCTATATACGTAGTTTGATCACTTACATCTATCTAAATATGATAGATATTATTATGATAAATGCTTATTGATTAAATACTAAAATGTTTATTTTCATTCCGTGCTCTATACTTTGCAGTAAAGGTATTTCTTCTAATTTTTTGACATTCATAAGTATATAAACTGATATGAATTATTGTTTTTTAATTAGTTAAAGTGTTAACCAAGTAAATCTCTTAAAGTAATTAACAATGATTATTATTTTATAACTAAAAACCTATTCCAATAAAAATTGCCTAGCACGTTTAATCCACCTTAACAAGTCAAACTCCATGAGAAATTTAAACTAATTCGGCTCAGACAGGCTTGAGGTATTATATTTTTCAACGAAGAGAAAGTTATATTAAGACGTGCCCTGATTTTAAATTTAACTAATCAATAAGGTTAAAAATAGCAAGAGTCTAAATTGGAAATCAGTAAGGCAAATAATTTTTTCTCCGAAGGAAATCAAAATCACTTGGCGCTGGGTAGGAAGGAATATTCATGCGAATTTTGAATTTCATATCACGTTTCAGGAAAATTATGGGAAACAAGCAATATTGAAAATGTATAAAGTGAACGGGGTCAAATACGGTATTGGAACCATTTATGATAGCTTTGGTGAGTTCCTTGAAAATTTACTATTGGCTTTAGTGAAAATTCCACTCTTCTAATTACTACGATGACCGTCATACCATGATTACGTCATGCCACTGGGGCCTTCGGGTGAGTCAGTAGTTAGACTGGTCGAGAAGCCTACCTTTAAGTAGCAGAAAGAGCATCACCTTCCTTCCTTCCACAGATAAATAAACGGTAAAGATTTTCAAAAACGTCCAAATAGTTTATAGTTTTGCCTTTTTATTTAATAGTACTGTTATTAAAACTGGTATTTTATAAATTTCAGGTTATAGAATCTCGGGTGATAGTGCTTCATGGGTGAAGAAAAATCATAAAGTCAAGTAAGTATTGACAATTTAAAGAAAAAACATTTGTATCCACTTATAATCATGCTTCTATATCTTTTTACATCCAACATCTTTTTCTTATACACCCCTTAAAGCACCGAAAGTGATAAATTTAAAATTATGTTAAATAGTTGTAAATTTATAATAATACATAACTTCAATCCGGTCAAACAGTTTTTTCTTTAAATGTGTAAAGGTTATGTAAATCAAAGACAATACTAAGTATTGACAATACTATAATAGACTCTTGCATTGATAATGATTTGGGGTTTTCAAAGGAAAATAAATCTTAAAGGTTTTCCCTATGCTTCGTGCATAAGCTAAGCTAAAAGGGTGAGTAAAAATAGTAAACTCAAACTGAAACTCAAAATATCTTTATTCATGTAGGTAAACAAGTACACTTATGAATTGTCAAGTTAAATTAATTGTAAATTTACATTTACTACCAGTTCGAGTAAGTATTACTTATAGCCTCACCTTGAAATAAAGTTTAATTTTAGACTTATGGTTTTTATAAAGGGAGCGTTCGAGTATTGCGTCACGCAATTTTTGGAGATTATTGACCCCCTCCCCCATGTAACGCGCCGTAACGTTTTTTATGTACCCAAGTATAGTAAAACGTTTCGTGACCACCTAGTGACGCTTTATACCAAAAAGTTACAATTATGTGGTGTAAAGTACTGGAAAGTCGAAAATAATATTACCAATAACGCGTAATTCAATCCCCGCCCCGCATCTTAACGTTTTACAAAAGGACCCCCCCAAAATTCGTTACGTAATACTTGACCGCTCCCAAAGTCTCCTACGTAAAGTAAGCTCTCTTGAGCTTACTATGAGGTTTGATAGAAAAGCTTTCACAATTATTTCAGATATGTGTTAACCATACTCCTACGTGACAACGGGACATATGGGCACGCGCTGCCTGCGAATCAAATTTTGCCAACCTGCGAGGAAACGCTGGTGGGCTTAACAGAAATATTGACGGCTCGCCACAGACGAGTTGAACCCGTCCTATTTAGCGATGCAACGCGTATACACTTTTGTCTAATTATATTTTGTATTTGTTACTTTATGAATTATATTTTCTGAATACATTAATGTATTATATTATAGATCTATGTACATGTTTTAAAAGGAGTAGCTCGCTCTCCTGTGTCCATAAAGACAAGCAATGTTCGAAAAAAGTATATATAATTCCTATTCATAATACTGGGACAGTAATCGTTTTAGTCGCGTAGTCATTAAACTATCCGATACAAATAACTTTCAAATTTACTTTAACCCACGTTTTATAAAGTGTATTCTATAATAGACTGTTATAATATTACTATTAAAATAGAAAGAAAATTAGAAAACTTTATTATGTTGAGCTTAACGCTACAAACCAAAAAGTTTCTATAATTATTTTTCTATAGAATGCATTATCTATGCGCTGATTTGACACAGAATCATTGCAAACATATTCTATGTGCAAATAGGCAACTGTCACCAAATGAAATCAGTGAGGTCACGAAACAATAACAATGTTAAAATTTTTACTCTTCACTTTTCTAATTTACAATGTGCAATGTATTCCAAAAAGATACAAAAATTACTCCCTCATACGCGGTATACCAGTTAATGAGGCCCATTTAAGATTCTTCAATAATTTAAGTGCGCTTTATAATGTTAATTACTGGAGATTACCGGGTCTAGTACACAGGCCCATTGAATTCATAATTGCGCCTACTAACAGAGAGGATTTTGTAAGGACCGCGGATAAAGCTGGCGTGTATTATTCCACTCTCATAGAAGATGTACAGAAGTATGTAATTTGAAGTTGTTTAAAAATCTAAATCAGTCTCATATAGATTTAACAATTTACAACTCGTTACAGCAGCTTAGACAATTTTTTTAAATATTATATACGATATAAAAAGCTTTGGAAAATATTCCGTATCGCGCCACCAGCGATTTTGAGGCTGATTTTTTTTTACAGTCGCGTTATGATCTGTAAACATCGATTGCTATATTGGCGCATGACTTTTTTGGCTAAAAAAAGCATCATAGAGTCTTATACTACCAAAAAAAACTGTTGCCGCTACGGCTTGAATAATGCCTGTGCTTTGTTACAGCGGGTGAGGGCTCTTCCTCCGCGCCTCCGATTTTTTATATACACTGTAGGGGTAAGGCAGACAAGACCACGTGGATAGTGGGGGTGCTCTGATTAGGTTTTAGGTACTTTTTGATGAGATTTTTATTTTGGCAAAATGGTCATGTGCCATCATAACAACACTAGTTATGGTGCTGAGAAATCATGACGAAGTCATTAAAAAAATCAGCCTCAAAAGCGCTGGTGGTGCGATACGGAATATTATCCAGAGCTTTTAATGTTTCGTGGTGTAAATACTTTTGGCATCGTATGATTGAATGTAATATAAGATTAAACTAATCAAATCGTCACAAGTACTTTAATGGTAGTTTATCTCTTATTGTGCCATTGTATAGAAAATGAACATAGGATCTGACAGTAAGGTAATAAACAGGCACCATTGACCAAAGCAAGCCAAGATAAGTTCAGTTCCAGTACAAGCCATTTCCAATAGACGCAATAAGTAACGTGGGAATTTTGCGGTTTAAAAATTATTTAGGTTTTAGTAACGTTTACTTAGTGATATTTTTTTACTGAATGTCCTATAACCCCTAGATGGGGCAGAGGGCGTCCACAGTGAATTTCCGTAGCGTTCGGTCTTGAGCCTTATATTTCACCTCGCTCTAAGTCTTACCGGCTCTATTTGCCTCATCTGCAACTGGCACCAGGATTGCATGGGACGGCCACGCTGACAACTATTTTGTACTAGTTAAGAATCTTAGGAAAAGAGCAGTTTATTTTTTCTCTTTTTCTATTGTAAGACGTCAGAATGCGAATGGTAATGCGCACGGCAGTTCAGCAGCATGTCGCTTCATAAATTGAGGGCACCTACTGTCAACGCACATTAAGCTAGCACAGTATATAAAAGTCATCTAAGTTTGTACTTACAGAGCTCTTGATATGCAAACTGTAAAATCCTACATTCGACGTAATATGGAGTCGTTCGATTGGAGGAGTTTTTTTCGCCTGCAGGACATTTACGCCTGGCTCTGGGATCTGGAGACCCAATATCCAGAAGTGATGCAAGTGAAAACAATTGGAAAATCTGTGGAAAAGAGAGATATACTTGCTGTGAAAATTGAACATAAGACTGGCAGGTGTGGAATTTTAATATAATTTCATTACGTTGGCTTTTCTAGTCTCGGCTGAATTCCAAAACCCCACACAACAAAAACTCTTTAGTTTTGAGCTAGGCGAAAATAAAAACAATTATCCACTTTTATCCTTGCTAAAGTACATAATAATATGTAAATATGTATGTGACGTAAAATTTATTTTCACAAATATTGATTTCAAAATAAAACGAAAAACGAACGATTTGATTGTGATTGGTCAAACGGATCTGATAGGATTAGAGATACTGTTGACCAATCATAATGAAACGAAACGCGCTATTCTTTCGTTTTTGATTTTCTATGATTACCTTTTAAGATCAAATCTCAAAGACCCAACATTATATTAAAGGACCACGCCAAGACCGAAAGTAATTGTGGAGGGCGGTATACATGCGCGTGAGTGGATATCGCAGGCGTTTGTCACATATTTTCTCTATCAAATCCTGACAGCCGCTCAATCCAATAGCACCCTGCGAGTAATAGCTGAGACCTACCAGTGGCATTTCGTACCAGTTATGAATCCCGGATGGATATGACTATACGCATAATGCGGTAGTATTTATTTTAACATATTTACTATTATATTAATTATAATTAATATTACTATTATATTATTATCTTAAAATATTTACTATTATAATAGTAATAAAAGTAGTAAAAACTAAAAGTAGTAGTAGTATTCAAAGTACTGATAAATTGATTTGTTTTGTAATCCACAAAAATCAAGTGATACTATTGACCCTCTGTAAAGAGTAATAATACATGAGCATGTAAAGTAAAATATTTTCACTCTATTATAGGATTAAATTTGACCTCTGCATCTCGAAAGAATATGAACCTTTTATTTGAATTAGAAATTTGGATTGGCTTTTGAACAGAAGTAAGTAGATTTCTGCCGACAATGTGAGTATTCTATTGTCTGTACTATTAAAATTTATCACGAGTAAACCATATTATAAATTTATGACTCATGGAAACACGTGTTTGTTTGCTTTGTGTGGGGTGTTTTTTTTTTTTTCTTTTTTTTATTTAAACAAAGCATTTTATTCTATTTAACAACTTCAGAAGTAAAAGTTTTCGATTTATAATAGTATATATAGTGCTGCAAAAAATATATATTTACGTTTATATCCATCAAAGATTTATTTCAACACAACTTATATGCTGGGTATATAACTTATTGTAATAAGTACATTCATGTGTAAATATATTTTGTAATCCCAAAAATCCATTGATCCTATAAAAAAAAATTAACTAAGGCTATTACGTAGCACTGTTTCATTGGGTCAAATATGTGTTTACGCATATAAGACGGTTCAAAACATAACGAATATTTACGATATAGACAACTTACCGAAAAATTCACGTCGATTTGAACGGATTTTGGATGGCTTTTGGAATTAATGAGATTTTTCTATTCTATAACTATTCAAAGTTACATAGCTAAATTAATATTATTTTAGAACCGTAACTTGTTTAGACTTGTGTATATGGCAAAAAATATATACCTACTTATACTAAAACGGCTAGAACTCGATTTGACCTAGATCTGGGCCTCAGAATTATTTATCTGTTCCATGATCTTTTCTAATGGCCAAGTAGGTGACCAACGACTCGTAGGTCCTGTGCCGTAGACTTTTTGGGTCGATGGCATGCTGGTTTCCTCACGATTTTTCTTCACCGCACAAGCGAGTGTTCTTCATCGCACAGAAAGTCAATTGGTGTACAGCGGGGTATTGAACGTAAGAACCCAGGAATGGGAGTCGCACGATGAAACCTCTAGGGCCTAACCAACACTGCTTTAATAACCTACCTTTATAGCCGTTGGTGTGAGCGGGAAGAAATCAAGCGAGACATACTGTGGTCCACATGCGTTCTCGGAACCAGAATCGAAGGCAATGGCTGATTTTGTTCTTGCAAACAGTCGAGATTTAAAGTTCTACCTCGCTTTCCATGCTTATGGTCAATACATGATATTACCGTATACACATTTGAAGGGTCATTCAGAAAATTATGATGATGTTGTAAGTTAAAATACATTTTTAATATTAGAATAAGTTAATCATAGGTTGTTGCTCACAGACACTATGTGATCATCTGTGCTCAGCAGTTGCCAGCAGCCGTGTTCTTCTTAGGGGCCGTTCAAGTATTACGTAAGCAGATTTACTGCAATTTATCCCCCCCCCCCTCTTGTCAGCAAAAGTGAGCAAAGCTCTCGAAAATAATAGTACATGAACGTATTAATTTTTTGGTAGGAATCCTCGAAAAGCATAGACAATGTGTGGGTAATATGTGTAAAAAAGTAAAGAATTACTGTTGACGTGATCACGAAATAAGAAAATCAAAGACCCCTATAGTTCTTACGTAATACTTGAACGGTCCCTTTCTTTTGTTTTAGCATAAATAACTAACAGAAAGAAGATAATTACTTTAAAATGTAATAAACTCAAGTTGAGGAACTTCTCAAAATCTGTTTAATTATTATTTTTAAAGTTTTACTCACTTTTACGTCTCTCGTCTAAAATTAATTAACGAAACCAAATAATAAAATTGGCTAGTCTTTATAAGCGTGAAAAACGTATTCCACGTAAGCACTGTTTATGTATTAAGATTTTTATATGAAATTTTAGCATGAAATGGGTCTCAAGGCTGCGTCCCAAATAGCAGGTAGATACGGAACGCAGTATGAAGTTGGCACTGCATACGATACAGTAGGTAAACAAATTGTGTATTACAAAGGAGAAGCATATAAATTGAATCTATGGCATTGTCCATAAAGTAGGTAATCCGACTAGATATTAATAGTAAGCTGTGCCCTACGGTTGCATGTTAACTTGGTCGTATTATATTGCCGTAACTTTTGTATTTTAGTTTCAGATTACTACGATTTATATATTTTTTAAATACATGTGTCTTTACTAAGACATCATGGAGAACTACGATCTAGCCTAATTTAAGTCTAACCTAAATTACTAATAAGGATATTTAACATAAGTTTCCAATAACACTACCTACAGTCTTTAATAAATGGAAGACACTCTTTTCTTGTGCTATTTTGTACGATTTAAATACATTTATATCTTAGAACATTCTTGATATGCTTGTTTTTATTGTTTTATTTTTCGCGTATGTAGGAAGTATAAATGTTAAGAACTTGTTTCATTAAGTTTTATTTACATTTGTTTGTAAAGGATAGGATTATCTACAAATAGGTTATGATTTTAATATCAACTCCAAATTTTATTTTCTATTTAAAAAGTGCAACTTTGTTTCTTACAGGCTACATGACGTCGGGAGTCAGTGGATGCTGGGTGAAAAAATCATTCAATGTTCCGTAAGTTTGTTATTAAAAGGTTAATAAAAAATTTAACCTTCGACCCCGAATAACTTTAGTAGCACACATAGGATGGATGGGGATTTTTAAAACTCTTTTTGGCCAATTTGGCTCTCCAGGAATTTTAGTTATTTGACCATTATTTTTATGTCTTATTTGACCGGACTATAAACTAAATTATTTTTATTTATGATATATCATTTTAAGTGGAAATATTTTTTAGATATGTGGTGACGTTTGAATTGCGTGACCAAGGGCAGCATGGCTTTGCTCTGCCCCCCAAACAAATATTGCCGACTTGTAAGGAAACCATGGATGGTCTCATATCCCTTTTAACCCATAAAACCGACAAATTAAAGGATCCAGTCTTACCGAAAACGGATCGTGGAGATATGATATATATTAATCATGTTATTTTGATTTTCATATTGATTAAATTGTTTATTTAATAAATATTATTTATTTTTTAGAATTACTATCGCCACATGTGTAATTTATTCGGTATGAAAAATAAGCTAGTGCGTAAAAATCAAAATATAATTCATATAGGAAAAGAGAGTATATGCCAGTAAATAATAATGTTTCTATGTTTGCATTTACTGCTAGTTCTCAAATCATGGGCGTAAAACAGATGAGATGAACTGGCAATAAGCACTGCGTCTTTCTTTTAAATCGTCAAGATTTTAAATCAAAATGTGTCTAAGGAGCTGCATTACATCATGCTTTTCATCACATTTTAATACAATTAATTAATTATTATAATTAAATAAATAAGGTAAATACTATTTACAGTATCTAAAACTACCTACATGCTGGTATACGAATTAAATATTTACTTTTTTATTTAAACACTCAGTATACAAGTAGCGGCACGAAACTCTAGCGCTGACCGTTATTGCGCAGAAGTAAAAAATAAGGTACCTGAGGGGGGCAAGCGGGCGCGCGTAGCGTCGATTGGCTCTCCAGTCGCATTCCGTCTCCCGCGCGACTGTACATGCGCAGCAATCCCCTCCACGTATCGGCCAGCGCTAGACTTACGTGCCGCTGCCTATAACAACTTTTTAATCGTAAAACATAGAAGGCTGAGGTCAGCATAGCAGCCACAGAAATTAATCTGCTATTATTATAATAATGTCGTTATTTGTCATGAAAGTGGAACGTAAGATTCATATGATGCATTGAACTGCATAATCTAGATGCAAATTATGAAAATATTCGTAACAATTTAACTATTTTTAATACCAATATGTCATACATTTCAGTGTGCTACAAATAATTTCAGATTTCTGTATTAAAGACACATTATCATTTAAAAATCGAACCATCTTCCCTGTGACAACATTTGCCCGATTTGCCATTCATCCAGCACATTTTATCAATGTTTTCATTGATAGCTAAATATCACGTTATTGAACAATTTGTCGTAACTCCTGAGCGATTATACACATTATTAATTTCGTTATCACCTGATAACTGGAAAAATTTATTGCAGTGATTTCTGATTTTTTTATAACCTGTCACATGTTATGAGAACAGTGGTCTACAATATTAATATATGATTTTAATTTAAACAGAGATAATGGAGATTAAATGTTGATTGCTACTTTAATTTTAGGTTTGTACCTGTACGCAACTTTATTATGTCGTGATAAATTTATGTCGGTTTTTTACTCGTAGTGTGATTAAATTATAATGTACATACTTTTTCGTTTAATGGACTAACACAAAAATAGTTTGTCATTTAAACTAGAGATCCCTCAGATTAGCAAATAGAAGAAACTGTTCTTGCTATATACAAATAGATATTAGAAGATATTCTGTTTTAAAATCTAATTATAATTCTCTTAACCGATTACAAAAAACTGAAGGAGGAGGTTATCAATCCGACGCGTAATTTTGGTTCACCATTATCTAAATATCATATGCAAAGTTGGGCGGAGTCGCGAATTTCTATACAAAACTTGTTGCTAAACGCGATTAAAAGCTAGGCAAAAGTTTCTATTCCCTACTGAAATATAATCTGGCAAAATGTAATAATTAAAAGTCAACTTTTATTTTTGTCACTGGAGCACCGTTGTGTGTTTCACGTGAGAATTAATTTGAGGCTATTATTTTGGGTTATTTAATGGATTAAAACTATTGCTGTGTGAAAATGCGCGGTGAGTTATGTGAAAATGAGCACGTTTTTCACGTGTGCAGTGTCGAAATTTTCACCTTATTTATTTTCACGTATTTTTCTTAGTGTATAAAATGAGTTCTGTATACATTTCATGATCATATTTTTCTTAACAGGCAAGGATGTGAGCCTTATTTTATTGTAGCGCCACTAGATTATTATTAAACATTGTAAAAGTGTAGCTAAGCGTTGGAAAGCTTTTTTAGAAATAAATATGGAGGCAATTTTTAACCCCGAGGGAGTACGTTCGAGTAATTGCTCATAAGCTGTAGAAAGTAATCCAGAGCGTACGGGCATGTAAAGCGGGCCATAGACGGACCGCAGGTTGCAGTCAAGACCGACTGCAATATGCGGTCGCCGCACGGCGATCTGCAGTTTCCATACTAAATTCATATTCGCAATACACGGACCGCTCGAGCAGTTCCTCAGCAAACCGCATATTGCAGTCGGTCTTGACTGCAACATGCGGTCCGTCTATGTCCCGCTTAAGACTCAATCTTTGATGTCAGGCGAAAAGGACTGTTCACCTAAGAAACTAAAATTATGAATGGAATACAGAAATCTTCGATTCGTCGACGACCAATCCCTCTCCGAGCGGCTTGATCCTTTGGCGTTGCATAGAGATGTGGGGTTATTCTGCATCTTCTACCGCATTTACCATGGAGAGTGTTCAGAGGAGTTGTTCGGATTAATACCTGCAGCTGAGTTTCATCATCGGATGTCGAGGCAGAATACGAAATTCCACCCGTATCACCTCGACGTCCGCCGTTCCACAACTGAGCGTTTTTCATGGCAGTTTGCCACGCACCACCACTATGTGGAACCAGCTGTCCACTGAAGTAATTCCGAACCAATTCGACTTAGGGTCCTTCAAGAAAAGAGCATACCAATTCTTAAAAGGCCGGCAACGCACTCGCGAGCCCTCTGGCATTGAGTGTCCATGGGCGGCGGTATCACTTAACATCAGGTGAGCCTCCTGCCCGTTTGCCCCCTGTTCTATTAAAAAAAATCTAAGCCCGTTAAGATTGTAGCGGCCATTCGATAATATTATAAATATATATCAATTCTCATATATTTATATCTATGAATTAAGATTTCGTTACACAACAAAGCGAGAGCTTAATAATTGCTTAATCCAATATTCTATTATCGACAAATTTAACCGCACCTTAACCCCATTAAACCTTCGTTAACTTTAACATAAGCACACTCGAGTTTAAGCAGAAATTTAAAGATACAGCGATTTTCTTGCCAACAGCCAAGTGATCCTTCAGTCGTTCTCCCCTTCAATTGTTAATGGGATGCTGTTAAATTTATATTTTAGCCCAGTTCCTTTGTCAGCATATTTTTCTATATAGGTCGGTGCTACGAGCCCTAATAATGCATTAGTTGAATAATGTATAGATTACAATTGATAATCCAAATTAATATGTTTGACATCTGTGTGTCTCTTAAGGTATTTAATTCATTAAAAATAGTGGATACAAGTGGCCGCTGCAATCTTAACGGGCTCAGATTTCTTTGAACAGTCCTTTTCGCCTGACATCAACGATTTTACATGCCGGTATGCTCAGGATTACTTTCTACAGCTTACGAGTCATTACTCGAACCCACTCCCTCGGGCTTAAAAATTGCATACATATTTATTTTAAAAAATGCTGGCCAACACTTAGCTATACTTTTACAATGATTAATAATAACCTAGTGGCGCTACAGTTATATAAGGCTCACTTACTCGCCTACTAAGAAAAATATGATCATGAAACGGATACAGAACTCATTTTATACACTAATAACATGAAAATAAATAAAGTGAATATCGTTAGTTATAAAATTAATAATGATATAATGAGACAAATGTAAGTATTCTAGTATATCAGTATCAGCGATGGAGGCTTTGGGTCGAAGATAATCCTCGCGATGTTTTTCCATCATTGTAATAAAATAAAATAAAAAAATGTGTTTATTCATTATAATGCATTACAATGTGTAAGATTTGGAAACATTTTAAGTAAAAAAATCACCTGCATCATGAGCATATCTCACATTCACTTCACGTAGATACCCTCACTCTTACACCATCACACATCACAGTCAAATTAGGTATTACCTAGTTAAATGTTCTTTCTCTTTTGTTAATGTTTGAATCTTTTTGTGTATTTTGTGTACTTGTTTGTTTTAGTATATATTTGTTGTAAGCTCTAGGATTACGACATAAATAAATAAAAACCAAAAAACAATAGCACTACAACCTTCTAGGTCTGGGGCTCAGATTTCTGTAGTTTCTGGTCGTCGGTGGTAGACGACAAAGGCAAGTAGGCCTACGCTTTACACGCCGTTGACTTTTTGGCTCAAAGGAATGCCGATTTCCCTAAGATGTGTTAAATGGCAATGACAAAACTGCGACCTCAGGAATGAGTCGCTTGTCATTTTGTGTACTAAGTAGTAACGGAACTTCTAGGAAGTCATTATTGCATTATGGACTATATTGTCTGATAAATAGAAATTAATATTATTAAAATGTGTTTTTAATTATTTAATATCAATTTGTTAAATAAAGTATTATTTGGTACGAGATTTTGTCAATTAAAACTCGAGATTCATTAAAAAAGATTTTAATTGGATCCAGGAAGTTGGATTTAGATACTTTTCTTTATTGTCGATTCGCCATTTTTTTATAATCATAAAAAGTTATAATAATCAAGTTATAAAGCTACGTAAATAGGTTTCCTAACTCAATATTTGCCACGACCAAAGACAAAAAACAATTAAAATTCGAAATTCCTTATAGCTAGTGGTTATTTATAATAAATACTATAGATACTTGCCTAGATAATGGAGATATTATTGGTAACTCTTTATAGGTTACATACAAAAATAACTTTTAGCATTAATTAAATTATTAAGAAATATAGGCACTTTAAAATTGGGTCACACAAACAAACTTTGTCGAAGATTAAAATGCCTATAATTTTATTTTACTGCAACGTACGTACAAAATTCAATGCCAGATGTTTAAGGCTGGATATGTGTGTGTGTATATGTAACGGCTGTTTGCATCATCATCAGGGATCATCTCAGTGTGTCCCTCCGAGAAATGACTGATTTTCGCGATTTTTTTTGCATGGTTAAAATAAGCTAATCGGTTATTTTTGTTACAAAATATAAAAGCACTAATTAAGAATATAAGATGAGTTTTAATATGTAGATTTATTAATTATTTCATATTACGATAAATTATTGGAATCGGTCCTTGATGGTGTATACCCCTGC